AGGTGCAGTTCGATGATCATGCCGTCGTCAAGATCGAGATCAAGGTACCATGCGTTGTTAGGCGCAGAACTTAGTCCTCGATAAGTGTGAACGTCGGAGGGATCATGTTGAATGTAGTGGAATGATAGAATGAGTAAGCCATTCATCCCATGCACCCCAAGAAGATGCAGGCTTAAATTGCGTGCTTCTTCTTCAAATGTCGTCGATATCGTAGTAGTCGTCAAAACCGTAAGGTGGACGCCGGATCTGAGGTCTCGCCCAACCGTTGCCAACATCATCGTCGTCCTTCTCCGCGTCTAGTGGCGTCCAAACGATGACCTTCTTTCGCACCCTCCAACTCCTCTTGTGAAACCTTGCCTTCATGTCCCGCTCTTTTCCGTACCCAGGCGACTTCTGGGTGACGTCCACACTTTCGCCGCGCTTCACCAAGACAAGCAACGCCTTTCGGGCGCCAGCACCCTTTGTCAAATCCTCATCGTCCACCCTGCCGAATCCCTGGAGTTGATGCTCTTCTGGGTTTTGTTCGAAAGACTCTCGCCTGTTGGGGTCAAGAACGGACGTGCAGTCGTTCTCCTCTGTCGATCTGAAGACCTGGACGATTGACCCGGAGCTCTCCCCATCCCTATTCCACAGTCTCTTGTTCCAAAACCTTGGCTGAGGCTGGCGGCATATGTCACCGGTCTCGCGAGATCCGTGGCTCCTGGAGGGGCTGAAGCCGAGCATGCGCGAGCTTCGAGTGACATAGCGAAGCTCCTTCCAACCGTTCCCGCGGTTGATCAAGTTCGTGATAGCGTCATACTCCGGTGCAGCAGCGGCTACCGCAAATACGGTCAGGCAGTCCAGTCGGAGCGCAGGGAGAAGCTGAAAGATCGACTCGTGGCGGTACATGAGGTCGTCGAACCCTTTGAGATAACGCATCATTGGGGAGCCGATCAGCCGAAGGTGGCGGATCTTGGACACAGTAGATTCAGGTAACTCGGAGAGTCTGTTTAGCATAGTCTGAGGATCCTCAAAGTTGAAAGTGACACGCTGAAGCCATATGTCGCGTGTTTCGATGTGTATCTGGCGGGATACGCGCAATAGCGCGAGGGAATGTGGGGCAGGCTTGAGATACCTCTCGCCATAGCGGGGTGTGTATCGCAGGCCGAACGTCAGCCTCGTCGAGTTGAAAGCCAGCTCCCAGATCTCATCGCGCAGTTCTCGAGGCAGTTGCAGCAAGGGGCTCGAATCGTTCATGGCAGTGTTGTCGTCAGTCATTCTTATCGACCTGATGGAGGTTTGGCGGGGTTCATTGTACCAGCGGTACCGGCCGCTCTTGGGCGGGATGAAGTAGTCTTCGTCCTGGATCATCATCTTGGAGAAGGTTTGCCCTGCATTGGAATCGAAGGCCGTGGATGGCACCGAGACATGGGGATTGGCCAGCTGATAAGCCCTTGGTGGTGTTCAGCGCCAAGCAGGTTCCCGGCTTGCCGTCACGCGACACTCGATTAGTCGCCTGGCAATCTCGACTCAGCCACCTTCCATCTCCACTCAGTTGGGACGATTACTCCACTCTTATATCTCGACTTTCCCAATACTGCCAAAATGCCTCGCGCCCGCCGAATATCCCGCAGCCGTTCCTTGTTCCTGGTTGTGAGTCTCCCGGCCGACGCCTAGCCCCACACCTTGCGTAATGCCGGATGTCCAGACAATAAGCAACGCGTTAGGTTTTGGCCATTACATCAAGCTTCCATCTAGGACGCGTCTTGCATAGACTCTCGCACGGACAAGAACCCAAAAATCGCGCTTCAAAGCTAACAAGACACAGTGTTACGCACTTCCGAAGACCACATATGGAGCCGACATCCAGCCCAAGCAAACCAAGCAGGACACAATCCTGTCGGACCGCTGAGTCTAGATACCGAAGTCCTGCCAAGCATCTCCACACTCACCGAAATGCGCTGTTTACCACCTAAACGCTATGCCACATTGATGTCGATATCCCGTCTCCAGTAGCCATTACCGAGGCGTATGGCTGAGATGCATACAAGCGAGCCTGCCACCGGAACATCTCGGGCGCCACTTCTGGTCCATCGCCCTCCGAGCGGCACGGTGGGACGCGTCCCAACAATTGGACGAGGCTGACAAGTACACCATGCCATGGAGTTTGTTGCTCTTGGCCGGCTCTCCTATGCTTGATACGATGGCCACTTATGACGTACGGACATCCTGAAGATCGGCGAGCTTGTAAAGGCCTCACCACGCTTGGTATGATCGAATGGAAGCCCGAGTCAGCTTATCCTGCAGGAATGCAATTGTGGATCGGATGGCGCATCGAGGCCGTGGAATTCCATTCCAATGCAACCTGCTCGAGGCTGGCGCGTGGGGCTCCGCAATATTCTTTAGCGCGGCACTCGCCATGACGGTACGTCGTTCACGAAGCCATACATGAAGCACACTGACGACTACCGGAGAGAGTCCGATCGTAGGACACATGCCTCAACAGAACTTGGCACGAAACGCCTGCTGGATGTTGCACCAAGAATCAATAAGCGCAAGCTCACGACGATGTAGTGGGACTGGTACCGGCATACCGCTCTGGGATATACGAGAGTGGATCTTGGGCCCATCTTAGAGGATGCCTCGCCGTGTTGGCTTCTAGACAGGTGAGATTATGGAAACATTGCGGATACGTGACTACGCTTCAAAGGCACTTCGAGGGCTCGGTGCTCTTCTCAAAATAGCCTCGGTGCTTAGCTCCTCCGAGGCTCTCACTGGAGGGTCATGGATAGGGGTCGTCCTCTACCTCGCCGTTCGTAGAAGCGCGGGTGAGGTGAGCTATCGGTGTGAGTACGGTGGAGCAGTAACGCGACTTACCTAGACGCACACCATCGACCAACAACTGCACTGTCTTCGCGCTTATTGTACGTTGCCTTCTCTCACTGCGCTCGGGTGTCAAAGATCGCCAATCTCGTCCGCATAACAATGTGCTCACTTGATCGCCCAGAATGTTTCTCAGTCTTCTCTAACGGGTGTGAAATGTTGGAGGCCCAGATGTCACTTTCTCAACGACATGACTACGAATCTTAGCTCATACCTGAATCACTTGACCGATTGCAGAAACATGTCGTTCTTGCGCTGTCGAATGCTGCTATTGCGACTTCTCCACCGCGATTCCCTTCCTGCGTCCAGTCACCTACTTAGCCGTTTATCTTATCTCACTCATCACCTGTCCTTGTCAGACGCTCAGCTTCGCGCAACACTTATCTGTTCTTTGCTCTGGTACTGCTTGTCATCATGGTCGACGCGATGCGCTGCAAGCTGCAATGTTACCCCAGTCACTTCTCTCCAGTATCACAAAGCAAAGTTTTCTTCCTCAAGCAACGCCACCAGGGCGAAGACTCAATGAAAAAAAGAAGGTTCCTATCGATCCTCACCACTTGGATGAGTGCCGAATGACAGGAAGAAAGTTCTCAGCAAGCCGAAGCTTGTGAGATCATAGCCGCGTCGGTTGTCGATGTTGCCGGTGGGTGTCGTTTGTCGGTATCGCCGGTCGATGTCGCCGGTCGATACATGTATATGTATATGTCGTCCTCCATCTCGGTGATGTGCTAACCCATTGCGGGTGTACCTACCCCAGTGGGTACCTGTTGGACCAAGGGCTGGGATAACTCTCTGCACAAATGATGGTTGGCAAACCCCGCTTACTTCTATTTGGGCGTGCTAAGCTGCCACCGCCATCATGGGGATCAGGCCAGGACCATTTGGTCTGTCAGGAAGCCCGAAGGCAACACCATTTCTGTGGCTCTCTTCTCACCCGGTGGTATGCGTATCTCCACCAACGCTCTGGATTCATGCGGTCCATAGCATGCCGTCGTATACAGAGGCATTGCCGCTGGGGCCAGTCCATAACACCGGGATGAGTGGGGGAAGCTGCACTGTCGAGCTGCAGGCGCAAGACAGTGTGGCTACGCCCTCCCTACAACAGAGAGTCACGGATCCAGCGTTAGTACCCAAGAGACACGAGCTCAAGCAAATCGCTGGCAGTGTTAACTGGGGGCAAAGACCAGGAGGATACTGACAGGCTAAAGAGGATCCAGGTCGCAGGGAAGGAATGCTACCCTCACGGGGATAGTCAGCAAGCGGGAGTCCGGGGCGAGCACTTACCTGCGTGGTGGTGGAGGAAGAAAGAGGTGGAGGAAGAAAGAGGTGGAGGAAGAAAGAGGTGGAGGAAGAAAGAGGTGGAGGAAGAAAGAGGTGGAGGACAAGGCTGGAAGAAACTCAATATACGCCGTGTGTGGGCGCCAAGCCAAGAGCCTGTGCGCTGTAGGCAGCAGCGAAAATATGAAAAGCGCGTCACAATAGAAGGTCTGAGACAGGGGTGGAAGTTTCTGCAAAAGTGAAGGTGAACGCGGCTCTGTGGGCACGTGAACCTGGGTGACGCAACGAACAAGACGATAGCGAGGAACATTGGAAAGTTGGAACTCCAACTTTGAATCTTTGAGATCAACGGCGAATTGAGCCAGTATCGAACGAAGACGCAGCGGCGACCATCTTATATTGCCCTCTTCTGACTCAGAGTGCGATGCATACTCTGGTTCTTCCATCTCGTCCCATGCATGGTACTGCGGTGACGCGACGCAGACGAGCGACTCACAACTTCCGAATTCCATATGTACCCATCCAATCAGATCCTCTCGAAAAAAGAGAAGTATCGTCAACACAAGAGCTTGAGCCAGTATTGTGATAAGAGAAAATAGACTTGCGTAGCATCGCGCTCGTATAGTCGGCCTGGCAACAGAACCACGCGATAACTGCGACACGAGCGTTTGTCGTGGCAAGTCCCATTGGCCGAATTCGGTCTTTCGCATACACATCCATTATTTGCTTGCAATTGAGGTCAACTCGTGGAGAGTCAGCTCCTGACACTACCACGAGTTCTGAGTAGCGATCAATCGCTCCTCCCCAAACAAGACAGATACCTGATGACGACACTGCCAACATCAACACCCACATCCACCATGGCGAGCGCGCAGACTACCGGTGCCGCCAGCTTCCTGAAACTACCAACTGAGCTGCTCGACCAGATCGCCAGCCTCCTCCCCCAATCGGCTCTTCGCGCACTCGCCCTCGCGTCAAAGAAGGCGAATGTCTCCGCCATCGACACCCTCTACAAGACCTACCTCAACCGCACTGCGCCCGCGAAAGCGCCCTTCCACCTCTTCCTCCGCACGGTATGCGAGCGACCCGACCTTGCGGCCAAGGTGAAGCGCGTCGACATTCGCGGCTGGCGTTCGGAGTATGAGGTTGCGACAGGAGCTGCATGGCGGGGTGTCACGGAAGTCAGGGACGTCGATCAAATCGAGAAGAGTGGCCCATCGTTCACGAGCACAGAAAAGAGCGTACGAGATTCAGCCACGGCCAGGTTCAAGTTGTTCGTCGGAGCCGCAGTCAAGGCCGGTATAGTCTCGAAGCCCACATCGCTTTCCGCATCGGCGCTGAAGGCGAGCATCGTATGGTACACAACACTGAAGGAGGACGGCGACTTTCTGCGACTTCTGGGACGGGGTGTGGAGGATGCGCAGCTTGTGCTGATGCTAGCTCTGCTACCCAATATGGGACTCCTCAATATCGATGGACTGAGTCCCTTTCCGCTCCTTGATTGGTAAGTCAAGTCCCTCTACGGTTGGCGTGAGACATATACTGATCCTGGTGCACCAACCTTTAGGCATCACTTCCTCTCTCGTTCCAGCACAGCGCTTCAGAAGCTTTGGGCGATAGGATTGACTGGCTCGAATACGAGCTCGAAAGAGCCAGTCGTCAAGAACAGTTTACAGTTTCTCGACATTACGCCAAACCTGCTGAAGATCAGCTTCATTGCCATTGCCGCCGGTGGTCATAAATTCACGGTCCAAGCGCTTCCTTCGACCAAACTCGAGACTGTTCTCCTTCTCGGGTGTGGAGTCAACGTTCGCCTCATGCGTAAGATTATGCTCAGTCAGCGTCTGAATGCTATAGCCTACCGGCCAGGTCCAGCCCAAGTCAATGCAATCACAGGATCCGATATCTCTCGACCAGTCCTCTTGGCTTCATTCGCGCATTCCAAGCTCTCGCTGAGAATGTTGGTTCTCTTCTCTGATGGGTTGAACTTTGGAGAAACCTCTCTCAAGGTTTTCGAGAACCTCGAAATATTGGATGTGCCTCTTGGGGATGCCCTGAATACCCCATACGATGCGGTAGAGCCTGAGGACATCTACGCTCGCCTCAAAGACCAGCTTCCTGTCAGCCTGAATCACATCGTCCTCCGCTATATGAACAACACCATCCAGAGTAAGATCGTCATAGAGCAATTGGCTGTATTGAAGATGCAAGGCATATTGCCGCACCTCGACAGAGCCACCTTCAACTTCATTAGCGCTGTGCCACCGGCATTTATTCCCGCGGCTGTCGTCAATATCGGTGGTCCTACGGGAGAAGTGTCTTTAGATTGTACCTGGGACTATCTCCCAAGGATCGAGAGAAAGGTCCAGGAAGATTTCGACGAGCTGTACAAGGACGCAGGCATCTGCATGGTGGTGAAACAGACGGACTGGTAGAGAGCTGACTAGACAGAGATATACATGAGGGAGCTATTGGCAGAATGATGAGGAATGCAGGAAGACGTGAGTGAATATCAAGGCCTCATGTATCTCGGCGTTGAAGGATGAGCGTGCAGATGTGTGGGCATCCTCGTCAATACCCAATTGGGACTAGCCCGCTTCACGTCTCAGGATCTCTAATGACATCACTCTCACAGAACACTGTCCAATATCCACCATTCCTAACCAAACCGTCGCGCACTATCTACGGAACCGCGGCATGTTTTCCAGGGGAACTACTGATTTCGTGGCGCAACGTGGCTCAGCAGGCACGTGGCGCTTTATTCGTTCGCCACGATGACGCGCACTCGACTGGAGCTCCCGTTCGCGCGCGTAATGCCCTGGGTTATTAGCCCACCACCCCGCAGCTCACATTGCGACATTGCCTGTTATACGTGACTTACATCAGATCTCTTCAACTTTTACTCTCCTTCCTATACATTCGACTCTCAACTCTTTCACACCAATCACACATCATGGCAGACTTCGCACCACCACCAGTATGTACATCGCAATCGCAACAATGGTGTCGCATGGCATCGCTAACAGTATTCACAGGGCCCTCCCCCGCCAAAGGTACCCGAAGGCTGGAAGGCCGTCTGGAACCCACAATACAACGAGTGGTTCTACGTCAACACCTACACGAAGCAGTCGCAATGGGACAAGCCAACCGAGGCCGTCTATCCTCCCGGCGAAGCCCCGCCCGCTGGCGCACCCCCCGGATATGCGCCTCCAGCAAGTGGCGCGGTAGGCGGATACCCCAGCGAGAAGGGAGGCTTTGGCAGCAACAACCCATACGCGAACACGAGCGAGGATGAGGCGCTTGCCAGGAGGCTTCAAGAAGAAGAACAAGCGCGCGCCAACGGACACTCGAGCGACACACGCGGACATGCGAACGACTACTACCAGCAGCCTGGCCAGTCGCAACCACCACAGTACGGCGGCTATGGCCAGCAGACCACCAGCTCGTACCCGCAAGAGCAACACCACGACTCGAGTACACAAGACAAAGGGAGCAAGGGCAAAGGACTGCTAGGCAAGATCCTCGGAAAGGCCACTGGCTCGTCCCATTCATCGCCATCGCACGGTTACCCACCACAACAGCATGGCTACGGCCAGCCAGCATACGGTCATGCAGGCTACGGAGGTGGCTATGGAGGAGGAGGATACGGTCGGCCTATGGGCGGCGGTATGCCTATGGGAGGTGGCATGGGTGGTGGCAGGCGTCCGGGAGGCGGCGGCATGGGAGGCATGGCCCTTGGAGCCGGAGGAGGTCTGCTGGCCGGTGGGCTCATCGGATCAGCAATGGCAGGAGACGGCGGTGACACTTACGTCGAGAATAACTACGGTGATGATGATATGGGTGGAGGAGATATGGGCGGTGGTGATGACATGGGCGACATGGGCGGCGACTTCTAAGGCGATGCAGTCTCATCCTAATAGTCTCACGATTTTCCTTACCTGTTTAGATACTAAGGTCGCCCTTCCTATGCTCTGATAGCAGAATAATATCTTCATCTTAGTCAAGTACACTCCTTCAAGGGCGGTTCTGCGAACATTCGCGTACATGTGAACTATGACGTACCTCAGTGGTCGGTTTAAATCTCTCCGAAAAGTGCAACACCAACAACGCCACTCTCGCATCTCGACAACACCTTCATGCTAAGAGCAACTTCGCGCCTAACAAACATCATGGCAGCCGAACAACAGAAGCGTAACATTGTCATCATCGGTAAGACTGGCCGGAAGTTTTCTATTTTCGATGACTTTTCTTACTAACGACTTCAGGTGGCGGCATCATTGGCTCAACTACAGCATACTTCCTGTCGCACCACCCAAACTTCAACAAAGAAAGAGACAGCATCACACTTTTAGAAGCTACTAAGATTGCTGGTGGCGCCTCAGGAAAAGCAGGTGGTCTTCTCGCATTATGGGCATACCCCAACTGCATCGTACCGTTGAGTTACAAACTTCATCAAGAGTTAGCCGAGAAGCATGGCGGCGCTGAGCGTTGGGGGTACCGAGCCGTGCACTGTGGTCAGGTCGATACGTACGGTGTTCTAGCCAAGAACAAGGGTGGCAAAGACGGTGCGAACGGCAAGAGCAAAGATGACTCGGTCAGTCTACAAAAGCGCACGCAGAGAGCAATTGGATTACTACGCGCTGCCGGTGTACCGAAAGATCTCGATTGGGTGGCAGCGGATGGTATCAAGTCTTATGAAGAGATGGGCACGCCACTCACAACAGCGCAAGTACATCCATACCATTTCACAACGAGCATGGCGCAGCTCGCCGAAGAGCAAGGTGTAAAAATCGTCTACGGCTCTGCCACCAACATCGAACAAGAAGCCGGCGCCGTGAAATCCGTCTCCTACAAGAGCAAAGACTCAGGCGAAGAACACAACCTCCCCGCCGACACCGTCATCCTCACAGCCGGCCCCTGGACAAAAACAGTCTGGAAATCATCACCCATCTCCGCCCTACGCGCCCACAGCGTCACAATCCGCCCCTCGCGCCCCGTCTCCGCCTACGCCCTCTTCACCTCAATAGACATGCCCCGCGGCAACAGCAAACGTGGGGAGACCGTAACACCAGAAATCTACGCCCGGCCCAACCAAGAAGTCTACGCGTGCGGTGAGGGCGACCACCTCGTTCCCCTACCCACATCTACAGATCTTGTGCAATGCGACGAGAGTAAGTGTCAGGAGATATTCGACCAGGTCTCTGCTATCTCTGAGGAGCTAAGGGATGGAGAGGTTACGGCGAGGCAAGCGTGTTATTTGCCTAATGTTAGTAGAGGGAGTGGACCGCTTATTGGCAAGACGAGTGTGAAGGGGTTGTTGATGGGTGCGGGGCATACTTGTTGGGGGATTCAGAATGGGCCTGCTACGGGCAAGTTATTGAGTGAGTTTGTGTTTGAGGGTGAGGGGAAGAGTGCGCAAATTGGGAGTTTGGATCCAAGGAAGTTTGGCGTTTAGATGGCGTGCGTTGGGTAGGATTTAATTTGAGTGATCGAAGCTAAGATGATATTCTCCAGGTGCCCGAGCCGCCATTGACTCTGGCGGTGTCTTGTTTTGGTGATGAATCTACTTTCTACTTGTTCACGTCTTCCAAGAATGTCCTCTCTGCTGAGGCATACACATCGGTTCATATCGTCTGCGCGACATAGTGTTCTCTTCGTGAGATCTTTCGTAGCCAGTAGCATTCACACTCAGTCCAAGGCTATTTCGTTATAGTCCTCTGTGCACTAACCCACGCCATGCACAACCCTCTTCCATATTTGATTAGAACGCTCAATTTGATATGCGAGAAGAAACCTGGTTCGTGTGCGAGATCAGATATTTATACCTCCGATAGGGCTATCCACAGTAACAACATAGTAAGCCCGCGTTTGTGTTTCTGGCAGCCATCTCGCACATGCGTTGAATAGCCGAGCTTTTTCAGATGCCAATCAGCATGTGCTGCTGCCAATACTGTTTTCGCAACTGCTCTCACAGGAGATCATGTCTTGGTTGATGTAGAGCTTAGATCGACTAGCGCTCTCTTTGAACCGAACGCCATACCTCGGAATAGATCTCTTTTTAGGACGACTGAAAAAACAGGAACAATCTCATGGCCGGTCATCTTGAGTCTTTTGGCGCTCTTAGTTTGGAGACACGAATGCGATACTGGGTACGGAGTGCGAGAGCGGATATTTTATAGATCCAGGAGTCTACTAGTCGAGCTGTAGATGGACACGAGTGGCTGGTAACAGTCATGCGATCTTTGAGATCTCCTTTTTGGGTCGCAATTGGCTGGTCAGAACATGAAGTGAGCGGCTCAAATTTTCGGATGGAGATCGGGATAATTGGGTAGTCTGCACATGGTAATACTGGAAGCTCTCCAGATCACTCAGTCATGTTGAGCCTTCGTAGAACTTTTCCGAGTCGGAGCAAACACCATGGATCGCGTGTTCGTGCTTTTGTAGTCTTCCGGGAGAGAGGAGCAAGATGAAGAGTAGGTCGAGAAACAGAATCGACGACTTTATAGCAACGCCGCAACGAACGCTCACACCCATGAGAAGCGGATCCCACTGTTTTGGAGTGACTGAAAAACGTAGACTGGTATCGTTGTACTATGCTGCGTCGAAACCATGAGTGAGGGAGCATGGCTCTGATTAACCATGTATTTGGTGGAACCACGTCTCGATAGCAACATGAACGAACTGATCTCGCTCCAAGAAGGCAACCAGAACATGCTATGCTGTCTCCAGTATTTTTCGGTCCGTAGGAAGACAGTCATTGCTCATGATGAGCGTGAATTTTGGAAAGAGGAATTCAGATAGAGAAGCTGGTGACTTAAAAGTAGCAAAGTCTGGAGCCTTTATATAGTAGATATCTAGGCCGGAAGATCAGCCAAAATCATAAGATAGCGGTCAAGTGATTTTTGCATGTGGTAACTTGTGGAAAACGCGAGCTCGGCATAACTCGAATCTTGTATGGTTTTTTGTCCATCTCGCGCAGCGAACACACAGACTTTTGCGATTCATTTTGCATGCATCTGTCGTTTCGCAAAAAGTCCTAGTCAGGTCGGTTGGGTAGTCTGATACGACTAAAACTGCACATGATTTGCTTTATGAGACCAATAGGGCCGCAAGATCATGAATAATTTCTTCCGCCTTTTCGTGCTTCTCGCCTCTCCCATAGGTCATCGATCTTTTGTTTTGGTAATATTGTTTGGTGAAGTATTTGTAAAGAAGAGGCGCAGATTCGAAGCCGAGAGCATTCTTATAAGCCCAACAGAGATGTGGCCCATGTTTTGATGAAAGCTCTTCTGCGCCGATCGGGGTGAGCTGGATAGCAGATATGGAGGTCCAAAGGAGAGAATCATAGATAGGTGCTTGATAGTTTTTGTATCATCATGTGTTTCCACTTGGCGTTTGTTGATCTGAACAGCGCTGATCTTCTCGTATTTTGGGA